AAAAAAAAAAAAAAAAAAACAAACAATTTAAAGGGGCGCCTGAGTGACTCAGTTAGTTGAGTGTCCGACTTCAGCTCAGGTCATAATCTCGCATTCCGTGAGTTCGAGCCCTGTGTCGGGCCCTCTGCTGACCACTCAGAGCCTGGAGCCTGCTTCAGATTCTGTGTCTCCCTCTGTCTCTGCCCTTCCCCTGCTTGTGCTCTATCTCTCTCACTCTCAAAATAAACATTAAAAAAATTAAAAAAAGAAACTTTTACTTAGATGTTATACACTCTTATTAATTGTATAAATTAACACTGATAGCTATTATAGAATATTTCATCCTGTAAGTATCTCTTATAGGTTATATAAGCATAATTCTAAGCATTTAGGTTGTTTTTTTTTAAATTTTATTATTCATATAAATATTGTAGTAGTGAACATTTTTATGTATAATACTTTTTCCCTGTTTAGATTTTTTTTCAGTGATATTCTCTTCATTGGCTGCATTCCTTCTAAAGTATATACATGTTAAAGCTCTAGATCATTTTGCAAAAGGGCTTTTGTAAAGAGTTTTGCTGTTTCAACCCTCCTTCAGTGTAAACTCTAACCAGCATTGAATTAAAGAAATTGGATATTTTTCTATGTTATTAAAAGTATATTGTTTCAGGGGCGCCTGGGTGGCGCAGTTGGTTGAGCGTCCGACTTCAGCCGGGTCACGATCTTGCAGTCCGTGAGTTCGAGCCCCGCGTCGGGCTCTGGGCTGATGGCTCAGAGCCTGGAGCCTGTTTCCGATTCTGTGTCTCCCTCTCTCTCTGCCCCTCGCCCGTTCATGCTCTGTCTCTCTCTGTCCCAAAAATAAATAAACGTTGAAAAAAAAAAAGTATATTGTTTCAATTTTCATGTCAATTTCTTTGATTACTCATGAGGATTACAATTTTCTGTCTTTGCTATTAATTCTATATTTCATATATAAGTTATCTGTTCATGAACTTTGCCTTTATCAGTATGGTTATGTATCTGTCTGATAGATGTCACTGATTTCCTTATTTATATTACTTTTTTTTCATTTTTACGGTGAATTTTTTCTAAGATTCATTGTTTGCCTTTAGTTTTGTTTGTTTTTCAATAAATCTCTTAAAATAATTTTATAGTGAAATTTAGCTATTGTTTCCTCTGTGATTTCTAACATTCTTTTAAAGATTAGACCATTTTCCCTAGCTACAGAATTGGTATATGTGTAATACTGGTTTTTTTTCCTATTTTTAATGGTTTAAAATTTGTTCAACATTTTCTAAAAAAACAAAAACAATTTCTATACTTAATTTGTTTATTTTTAACTTTAATTTTTTTTTTAACGTTTATTTATTTTTGAGACAGAGAGAGACAGAGTGAATATGGGGGGGGTGGTCAGAGAGAGAGAGGGAGACACAGAATTCGAAATAGCTCCAGGTCGAAGCTGTCAGCACAGAGCCTCGATGCGTGGGCCTGAACTCAATGAATCAGCGAGATCAAGTCGGCTGCTCAACCGACTGAGCCACCCAGGCACCCCATTACCTTTATATATTTATTTTGAGAGAGAGAGCATGAAACAGGGAGGGGAAGAGAGAGAGGGAGAGAGAGAATCCCAAGCAAACTCTGCACTGTTATTGTGGAGCCCATTGCGGGCCTTGAAGTCACAAACCATGAGATCATGACCTCAGCTGAAATCAAGAGTCAAGTGCTTAACTGACTGAGCCACCCTGGCTCCCCAGTACTTATTTAATTTGTTTAAAAAAAATGTTGCTGGGGCGGCTGGATGGCTCAGTCGGTTA